ATAATGTTTGACTGGTTTGATGAACCAATTGTATACTACAGACGCTTCGCTCCAATGCGCTCTGGTGTCTTTGATTACATGTCACGTTGGATGGATTCAGTAGATCGTGCTATGGAAGAAGAATTTGGTGACTTTTATGATGCATTCACTCGCCGTGATGTTGAACATGATATGATTGAATATGATACTGAATGCAAACACTGCAAGAAGAACAGTAATAAGAAGAATTCCTCCAAGAAGACAGAGGAGAAACCAAAGAAAGAAGAAGTAAAGCAGGAAGACGTCAAGGAATCTTCAAATGTTGATGATGATGACGTCGAAAGTGATGATGATGTTCCACAATACTACTCATTCACATCATCAATGTATAGTGGCTCCGATGGTATACAGCACATACATCGTGAGGAAGTTGATTCAAAGAGTGGTCTCCGCAAAGTTGTTGATACAAAGCGTGTCGGCAACAAGTCTCTCACAGTTCATGAAGTTACTGACAAAGATGGTAAAGTTGAGAAACACGAGACAATGAAGAACATTCGTGATGATGAGATTGAAGAGTTCAAGAACATGTGGGCACAGCACAATGTTCCTGCACAATCTTCTCTTCCAGAACCAGAAAACAAAGAAAAGAAGAATGTAAAGAAGGAAGAGAAGAAAGATGATAAGAAGACAGAAGATAAGCCAAAGAAAGAAGAAACTCACTAAGGAAAGAAAAAAACTTTGTGCTGAATTTCTAATCTTCTTTTAATATTAATATGTTTGTAAACATGATTCTATATGATTTATTCTAAATTTATCTTTTTTTTATAATTATCATTCTAATATAAAGTTATAAAGAATTAGATATTTAATTTTGAAATAATTAATGATAATATATAATGAAAATAGAATAAAATATTTTAATTCATATCAATTTACAATTATTATCATATTTTTATCGTTATTTCTATTTTATTGAATCTTTGAATTTAGATTTCAAAGAAAAATGTCAAAAATGGAAACAATTGGTATAAAATATTTATCTATGGTATGTAATTAATATATTCTTTATTCATATTTTTCTTAGAAAATGTCGTATTTCTCTCAGTTTTGGAAAACTTCTCAGAAATTTTGTTCGGGCATTTATTCTTTCAATTTTTTGAAAAGAGAAATTTTGTCTGAACACTAAATCATTTTTCGATAATGTTTGACTGGTTTGATGAACCAATTGTATACTACAGACGCTTCGCTCCAATGCGCTCTGGTGTCTTTGATTACATGTCACGTTGGATGGATTCAGTAGATCGTGCTATGGAAGAAGAATTTGGTGACTTTTATGATGCATTCACTCGCCGTGATGTTGAACATGATATGATTGAATATGATACTGAATGCAAACACTGCAAGAAGAACAGTAATAAGAAGAATTCCTCCAAGAAGACAGAGGAGAAACCAAAGAAAGAAGAAGTAAAGCAGGAAGACGTCAAGGAATCTTCAAATGTTGATGATGATGACGTCGAAAGTGATGATGATGTTCCACAATACTACTCATTCACATCATCAATGTATAGTGGCTCCGATGGTATACAGCACATACATCGTGAGGAAGTTGATTCAAAGAGTGGTCTCCGCAAAGTTGTTGATACAAAGCGTGTCGGCAACAAGTCTCTCACAGTTCATGAAGTTACTGACAAAGATGGTAAAGTTGAGAAACACGAGACAATGAAGAACATTCGTGATGATGAGATTGAAGAGTTCAAGAACATGTGGGCACAGCACAATGTTCCTGCACAATCTTCTCTTCCAGAACCAGAAAACAAAGAAAAGAAGAATGTAAAGAAGGAAGAGAAGAAAGATGATAAGAAGACAGAAGATAAGCCAAAGAAAGAAGAAACTCACTAAGGAAAGAAAAAAACTTTGTGCTGAATTTCTAATCTTCTTTTAATATTAATATGTTTGTAAACATGATTCTATATGATTTATTCTAAATTTATCTTTTTTTTATAATTATCATTCTAATATAAAGTTATAAAGAATTAGATATTTAATTTTGAAATAATTAATGATAATATATAATGAAAATAGAATAAATATATTTTAATTCATATCAATTTACAATTATTATCATATTTTTATCGTTATTTCTATTTTATTGAATCTTTGAATTTAGATTTCAAAGAAAAATGTCAAAAATGGAAACAATTGGTATAAAATATTTATCTATGGTATGTAATTAATATATTCTTTATTCATATTTTTCTTAGAAAATGTCGTATTTCTCTCAGTTTTGGAAAACTTCTCAGAAATTTTGTTCGGGCATTTATTCTTTCAATTTTTTGAAAAGAGAAATTTTGTCTGAACACTAAATCATTTTTCGATAATGTTTGACTGGTTTGATGAACCAATTGTATACTACAGACGCTTCGCTCCAATGCGCTCTGGTGTCTTTGATTACATGTCACGTTGGATGGATTCAGTAGATCGTGCTATGGAAGAAGAATTTGGTGACTTTTATGATGCATTCACTCGCCGTGATGTTGAACATGATATGATTGAATATGATACTGAATGCAAACACTGCAAGAAGAACAGTAATAAGAAGAATTCCTCCAAGAAGACAGAGGAGAAACCAAAGAAAGAAGAAGTAAAGCAGGAAGACGTCAAGGAATCTTCAAATGTTGATGATGATGACGTCGAAAGTGATGATGATGTTCCACAATACTACTCATTCACATCATCAATGTATAGTGGCTCCGATGGTATACAGCACATACATCGTGAGGAAGTTGATTCAAAGAGTGGTCTCCGCAAAGTTGTTGATACAAAGCGTGTCGGCAACAAGTCTCTCACAGTTCATGAAGTTACTGACAAAGATGGTAAAGTTGAGAAACACGAGACAATGAAGAACATTCGTGATGATGAGATTGAAGAGTTCAAGAACATGTGGGCACAGCACAATGTTCCTGCACAATCTTCTCTTCCAGAACCAGAAAACAAAGAAAAGAAGAATGTAAAGAAGGAAGAGAAGAAAGATGATAAGAAGACAGAAGATAAGCCAAAGAAAGAAGAAACTCACTAAGGAAAGAAAAAAACTTTGTGCTGAATTTCTAATCTTCTTTTAATATTAATATGTTTGTAAACATGATTCTATATGATTTATTCTAAATTTATCTTTTTTTTATAATTATCATTCTAATATAAAGTTATAAAGAATTAGATATTTAATTTTGAAATAATTAATGATAATATATAATGAAAATAGAATAAATATATTTTAATTCATATCAATTTACAATTATTATCATATTTTTATCGTTATTTCTATTTTATTGAATCTTTGAATTTAGATTTCAAAGAAAAATGTCAAAAATGGAAACAATTGGTATAAAATATTTATCTATGGTATGTAATTAATATATTCTTTATTCATATTTTTCTTAGAAAATGTCGTATTTCTCTCAGTTTTGGAAAACTTCTCAGAAATTTTGTTCGGGCATTTATTCTTTCAATTTTTTGAAAAGAGAAATTTTGTCTGAACACTAAATCATTTTTCGATAATGTTTGACTGGTTTGATGAACCAATTGTATACTACAGACGCTTCGCTCCAATGCGCTCTGGTGTCTTTGATTACATGTCACGTTGGATGGATTCAGTAGATCGTGCTATGGAAGAAGAATTTGGTGACTTTTATGATGCATTCACTCGCCGTGATGTTGAACATGATATGATTGAATATGATACTGAATGCAAACACTGCAAGAAGAACAGTAATAAGAAGAATTCCTCCAAGAAGACAGAGGAGAAACCAAAGAAAGAAGAAGTAAAGCAGGAAGACGTCAAGGAATCTTCAAATGTTGATGATGATGACGTCGAAAGTGATGATGATGTTCCACAATACTACTCATTCACATCATCAATGTATAGTGGCTCCGATGGTATACAGCACATACATCGTGAGGAAGTTGATTCAAAGAGTGGTCTCCGCAAAGTTGTTGATACAAAGCGTGTCGGCAACAAGTCTCTCACAGTTCATGAAGTTACTGACAAAGATGGTAAAGTTGAGAAACACGAGACAATGAAGAACATTCGTGATGATGAGATTGAAGAGTTCAAGAACATGTGGGCACAGCACAATGTTCCTGCACAATCTTCTCTTCCAGAACCAGAAAACAAAGAAAAGAAGAATGTAAAGAAGGAAGAGAAGAAAGATGATAAGAAGACAGAAGATAAGCCAAAGAAAGAAAAACTCACTAAGGAAAGAAAAAAACTTTGTGCTGAATTTCTAATCTTCTTTTAATATTAATATGTTTGTAAACATGATTCTATATGATTTATTCTAAATTTATCTTTTTTTTATAATTATCATTCTAATATAAAGTTATAAAGAATTAGATATTTAATTTTGAAATAATTAATGATAATATATAATGAAAATAGAATAAATATATTTTAATTCATATCAATTTACAATTATTATCATATTTTTATCGTTATTTCTATTTTATTGAATCTTTGAATTTAGATTTCAAAGAAAAATGTCAAAAATGGAAACAATTGGTATAAAATATTTATCTATGGTATGTAATTAATATATTCTTTATTCATATTTTTCTTAGAAAATGTCGTATTTCTCTCAATTTTGGAAAACTTCTCAGAAATTTTGTTCGGCATTTATTCTTTCAATTTTTTGAAAAGAGAAATTTTGTCTGACACTAACATTTTTCGATAATGTTTGACTGGTTTGATGACCAATTGTATACTACAGACGCTTCGCTCCAATGCGCTCTGGTGTCTTTGATTACATGTCACGTTGGATGGATTCAGTAGAATCGTGCTATGGAAGAAGAATTTGGTGACTTTTATGATGCATTCACTCGCCGTGATGTTGAACATGATATGATTGAATATGAATACTGAATGCAAACACTGCAAGAAGAACAGTAATAAGAAGAATTCCTCCAAGAAGACAGAGGAGAAACAAAGAAAGAAGAAGTAAAGCAGGAAGACGTCAAGGAATCTTCAAATGTTGATGATGAATGACGTCGAAAGTGATGATGATGTTCCACAATACTACTCATTCACATCATCAATGTATAGTGGCTCCGATGGTATACAGCACATACATCGTGAGGAAGTTGATTCAAAGAGTGGTCTCCGCAAAGTTTTGATACAAAGCGTGTCGGCAACAAGTCTCTCACAGTTCATGAAGTTACTGACAAAGATGGTAAAGTTGAGAAACACGAGACAATGAAGAACATTCGTGATGATGAGATTGAAGAGTTCAAGACATGTGGCACAGCACAATGTTCCTGCACAATCTTCTCTTCCAGAACCAGAAAACAAAGAAAAAAAATGTAAAGAAGGAAGAGAAGAAAGATGATAAGAAGATAGAAGATAAGCCAAAGAAAGAAGAAACTCACTAAGGAAAGAAAAAAACTTTGTGCTGAATTTCTAATCTTCTTTTAATATTAATATGTTTGTAAACATGATTCTATATGATTTATTCTAAATTTATCTTTTTTTTATAATTATCATTCTAATATAAAGTTATAAAGAATTAGATATTAATTTTGAATAATTAATGATAATATATAATGAAAATAGAATAAATATATTTTAATTCATATCAATTTACAATTATTATCATATTTTTATCGTTATTTCTATTTTATTGAATCTTTGAATTTAAGATTTCAAAGAAAAATGTCAAAAATGGAAACAATTGGTATAAAATATTTATCTATGGTATGTAATTAATATATTTTTATTCATATTTTTCTTAGAAAATGTCGTATTTCTCTCAGTTTTGGAAAACTTCTCAGAAATTTTGTTCGGGCATTTATTCTTTCAATTTTTTGAAAAGAGAAATTTTGTCTGAACACTAAATCATTTTTCGATAATGTTTGACTGGTTTGATGAACCAATTGTATACTACAGACGCTTCGCTCCAATGCGCTCTGGTGTCTTTGATTACATGTCACGTTGGATGGATTCAGTAGATCGTGCTATGGAAGAAGAATTTGGTGACTTTTATGATGCATTCACTCGCCGTGATGTTGAACATGATATGATTGAATATGATACTGAATGCAAACACTGCAAGAAGAACAGTAATAAGAAGAATTCCTCCAAGAAGACAGAGGAGAAACCAAAGAAAGAAGAAGTAAAGCAGGAAGACGTCAAGGAATCTTCAAATGTTGATGATGATGACGTCGAAAGTGATGATGATGTTCCACAATACTACTCATTCACATCATCAATGTATAGTGGCTCCGATGGTATACAGCACATACATCGTGAGGAAGTTGATTCAAAGAGTGGTCTCCGCAAAGTTGTTGATACAAAGCGTGTCGGCAACAAGTCTCTCACAGTTCATGAAGTTACTGACAAAGATGGTAAAGTTGAGAAACACGAGACAATGAAGAACATTCGTGATGATGAGATTGAAGAGTTCAAGAACATGTGGGCACAGCACAATGTTCCTGCACAATCTTCTCTCCAGAACCAGAAAACAAAGAAAAGAAGAATGTAAAGAAGGAAGAGAAGAAAGATGATAAGAAGATAGAAGATAAGCCAAAGAAAGAAGAAACTCACTAAGGAAAGAAAAAAACTTTGTGCTGAATTTCTAATCTTCTTTTAATATTATATGTTTGTAAACATGATTCTATATGATTTATTCTAAATTTATCTTTTTTTATAATTATCATTCTAATATAAAGTTATAAAGAATTAGATATTTAATTTTGAAATAATTAATGATAATATATAATGAAAATAGAATAAATATATTTTAATTCATATCAATTTACAATTATTATCATATTTTTATCGTTATTTCTATTTTATTGAATCTTTGAATTTAGATTTCAAAGAAAAATGTCAAAAATGGAAACAATTGGTATAAAATATTTATCTATGGTATGTAATTAATATATTCTTTATTCATATTTTTCTTAGAAAATGTCGTATTTCTCTCAGTTTTGGAAAACTTCTCAGAAATTTTGTTCGGGCATTTATTCTTTCAATTTTTTGAAAAGAGAAATTTTGTCTGAACACTAAATCATTTTTCGATAATGTTTGACTGGTTTGATGAACCAATTGTATACTACAGACGCTTCGCTCCAATGCGCTCTGGTGTCTTTGATTACATGTCACGTTGGATGGATTCAGTAGATCGTGCTATGGAAGAAGAATTTGGTGACTTTTATGATGCATTCACTCGCCGTGATGTTGAACATGATATGATTGAATATGATACTGAATGCAAACACTGCAAGAAGAACAGTAATAAGAAGAATTCCTCCAAGAAGACAGAGGAGAAACCAAAGAAAGAAGAAGTAAAGCAGGAAGACGTCAAGGAATCTTCAAATGTTGATGATGATGACGTCGAAAGTGATGATGATGTTCCACAATACTACTCATTCACATCATCAATGTATAGTGGCTCCGATGGTATACAGCACATACATCGTGAGGAAGTTGATTCAAAGAGTGGTCTCCGCAAAGTTGTTGATACAAAGCGTGTCGGCAACAAGTCTCTCACAGTTCATGAAGTTACTGACAAAGATGGTAAAGTTGAGAAACACGAGACAATGAAGAACATTCGTGATGATGAGATTGAAGAGTTCAAGAACATGTGGGCACAGCACAATGTTCCTGCACAATCTTCTCTTCCAGAACCAGAAAACAAAGAAAGAAGAATGTAAAGAAGGAAGAGAAGAAAGATGATAAGAAGACAGAAGATAAGCCAAAGAAAGAAGAAACTCACTAAGGAAAGAAAAAAACTTTGTGCTGAATTTCTAATCTTCTTTTAATATTAATATGTTTGTAAACATGATTCTATATGATTTATTCTAAATTTATCTTTTTTTTATAATTATCATTCTAATATAAAGTTATAAAGAATTAGATATTTAATTTTGAAATAATTAATGATAATATATAATGAAAATAGAATAAATATATTTTAATTCATATCAATTTACAATTATTATCATATTTTTATCGTTATTTCTATTTTATTGAATCTTTGAATTTAGATTTCAAAGAAAAATGTCAAAAATGGAAACAATTGGTATAAAATATTTATCTATGGTATGTAATTAATATATTCTTTATTCATATTTTTCTTAGAAAATGTCGTATTTCTCTCAGTTTTGGAAAACTTCTCAGAAATTTTGTTCGGGCATTTATTCTTTCAATTTTTTGAAAAGAGAAATTTTGTCTGAACACTAAATCATTTTTCGATAATGTTTGACTGGTTTGATGAACCAATTGTATACTACAGACGCTTCGCTCCAATGCGCTCTGGTGTCTTTGATTACATGTCACGTTGGATGGATTCAGTAGATCGTGCTATGGAAGAAGAATTTGGTGACTTTTATGATGCATTCACTCGCCGTGATGTTGAACATGATATGATTGAATATGATACTGAATGCAAACACTGCAAGAAGAACAGTAATAAGAAGAATTCCTCCAAGAAGACAGAGGAGAAACCAAAGAAAGAAGAAGTAAAGCAGGAAGACGTCAAGGAATCTTCAAATGTTGATGATGATGACGTCGAAAGTGATGATGATGTTCCACAATACTACTCATTCACATCATCAATGTATAGTGGCTCCGATGGTATACAGCACATACATCGTGAGGAAGTTGATTCAAAGAGTGGTCTCCGCAAAGTTGTTGATACAAAGCGTGTCGGCAACAAGTCTCTCACAGTTCATGAAGTTACTGACAAAGATGGTAAAGTTGAGAAACACGAGACAATGAAGAACATTCGTGATGATGAGATTGAAGAGTTCAAGAACATGTGGGCACAGCACAATGTTCCTGCACAATCTTCTCTTCCAGAACCAGAAAACAAAGAAAAGAAGAATGTAAAGAAGGAAGAGAAGAAAGATGATAAGAAGACAGAAGATAAGCCAAAGAAAGAAGAAACTCACTAAGGAAAGAAAAAAACTTTGTGCTGAATTTCTAATCTTCTTTTAATATTAATATGTTTGTAAACATGATTCTATATGATTTATTCTAAATTTATCTTTTTTTTATAATTATCATTCTAATATAAAGTTATAAAGAATTAGATATTTAATTTTGAAATAATTAATGATAATATATAATGAAAATAGAATAAATATATTTTAATTCATATCAATTTACAATTATTATCATATTTTTATCGTTATTTCTATTTTATTGAATCTTTGAATTTAGATTTCAAAGAAAAATGTCAAAAATGGAAACAATTGGTATAAAATATTTATCTATGGTATGTAATTAATATATTTTTATTCATATTTTTCTTAGAAAATGTCGTATTTCTCTCAGTTTTGGAAAACTTCTCAGAAATTTTGTTCGGGCATTTATTCTTTCAATTTTTTGAAAAGAGAAATTTTGTCTGAACACTAAATCATTTTTCGATAATGTTTGACTGGTTTGATGAACCAATTGTATACTACAGACGCTTCGCTCCAATGCGCTCTGGTGTCTTTGATTACATGTCACGTTGGATGGATTCAGTAGATCGTGCTATGGAAGAAGAATTTGGTGACTTTTATGATGCATTCACTCGCCGTGATGTTGAACATGATATGATTGAATATGATACTGAATGCAAACACTGCAAGAAGAACAGTAATAAGAAGAATTCCTCCAAGAAGACAGAGGAGAAACCAAAGAAAGAAGAAGTAAAGCAGGAAGACGTCAAGGAATCTTCAAATGTTGATGATGATGACGTCGAAAGTGATGATGATGTTCCACAATACTACTCATTCACATCATCAATGTATAGTGGCTCCGATGGTATACAGCACATACATCGTGAGGAAGTTGATTCAAAGAGTGGTCTCCGCAAAGTTGTTGATACAAAGCGTGTCGGCAACAAGTCTCTCACAGTTCATGAAGTTACTGACAAAGATGGTAAAGTTGAGAAACACGAGACAATGAAGAACATTCGTGATGATGAGATTGAAGAGTTCAAGAACATGTGGGCACAGCACAATGTTCCTGCACAATCTTCTCTTCCAGAACCAGAAAACAAAGAAAAGAAGAATGTAAAGAAGGAAGAGAAGAAAGATGATAAGAAGACAGAAGATAAGCCAAAGAAAGAAGAAACTCACTAAGGAAAGAAAAAAACTTTGTGCTGAATTTCTAATCTTCTTTTAATATTAATATGTTTGTAAACATGATTCTATATGATTTATTCTAAATTTATCTTTTTTTTATAATTATCATTCTAATATAAAGTTA